ATCAACGAACGCTTTTCGTTCCACTAATTTATTTGTGTTTTTCTCGCTGCCATGTTCCCACCAATCACGTAGCTCCTTTTTCTGCTTTTAAAAGCAGACACAATCCACAATTCCTCTATTCGCTCAGACGAAGGGCTAACGCTCGAAACGTCAGCTTTTATAATTGTAACGGTGGTCAATTTACCATTTCAACTTTGTTGATATATTCAAATTATTTTGTTACCCCCACTGACACAGCCCCAAACAGTTTCTTTAGAAACTATCAGCCTTTATTAACTAGGAAAAGACAGATTTCGAGCTATTTTTTAATCTTAACTTAATACATGTATTTTGACTTTTCAGCCCCCTAAAGGATGTTTGTTTTTTCCAAAACATGGGGGGTAACGAAAATTAAATCATTTTATTACTGAATATGGTGCATCCAATGACCTACAATCATCATTACAGTACACCAATGTACTTGCTAACTTTCTGGCTTGGGAAACACCATATTTCACTGGTAATAACTAGCAATACTAAGTTTTCACCAGCCGTAAGACAACTCTCTGTGGCATTAATATTTTTTGGGTCTCGAGAAATGAAAAACATTTTAAACTACAATGTTAAATGGCTCTCTGGTGATCTAAGAACTGACAACTGAAGACGTTCCCAAAAATCCCCCCATCACTTCCACATGGGTAACACATCAAGGCGGACAAGTCCATGGAATATTTTTAACAACAAAAATGCTGTGAGGAAATTCAACAAACCTTAGCAATAACATCAGCAGTTTCTCGAAAGTCATGACACCTTCCAACATTGGATCTAGACAAGAAGTCCTCTACTAATCGCACACCAATATTGTAGCCCCTATAAGGAAAATCATGGTCTTAGTCACACTTCTTCTTTGGGACTATACTGAGTCATTTCTTTGACTGATACAGGACTCTGCATCTATTTAAGGTGTCAATTTCCTATACAGGTAAGTGCATTTCAGAGTAATAAGAGAAAAATTAGGCTTGATGAGGCAGGTAAAGAGATTCAAGTTTTACTTTTTAAGTAGCAGTAGTTGCTTTAATCAGTTGGGAAAATCAAGCATTTCCCACTTTAAAAACAGGGTTTGACACCAACTTTTCAACTTACTAGCCAAGAGGCTGGCGACAACTTAGATGTTACAACAATTTCAGTTTGTTTACTAGTCAAACTGGTTTGTGAAAATAAAAAACCACTAGCCAAAACTGAATTTTTTACTAGTCGGTGGCTAATTGGTTACCATAAGTGTTGAGCCCTGCATACAGTGTGGGTGCCTATATATATCTGATATAATATTTCTAAATCCAGTCCAACATGATAATCTGAGTCTTTGCTCAAACACCAGCCTTTCCTGTCTCTTTTCCCAATTTCTTTACTGTTTGAATATAAAATCTATCAAAACATTGATCTTGAATGAAACATAACACACAAAACTCTGCTTTTCAGGTGGTTTGAAAAATGGCCACCCAAGTGCAGAATGAAAGCTTCAGGTTAAGGTCTGACCAAGTTCAACGAGTTAGATTCCAGGTAGGACATGTTACTTCTCTCCCCCCATAAGTATGAATGGTAACCAAGAAACTGCAAGGAGACCTGATAGAGTGCTGGGGAGGGAGGGGAGGGAGAGGAGGGAGGGAGAGGAGGGAGGGAGAGGAGGGAGGGGAGAGACCCACATTAGACCTGTAATTCCACCCACAGTAAGTAGTAATACTTCTAGACACTTCAAATGATGAAAAAAGGAGACAATTTCTGGAAGTGTGGATTTACAAAGCTAAATGCAGTGAAGCTGCTTACTACCCCTCCAGATCCCTTAGGAAATGCACTTTCCCAGGGTAGCTAATTGTCACTGTGACAAATGATTAACAGTTCAATAACTCAACCCTTTACCTCCCAAGATCTGACCGTTGATTCTCCCATCTAGGATTTACACACTTCCTTGTACATGTACAGTATATTAATAATGATATGTTAATGTTAGTTCTAGACAACAATTCAACCTGATACTTAAGTTGGAGTTTTCTCATTACCTGTTTGCTGGACAATGTATGGATATCATAGGGAGAAGTTTATTCGTAATCAATTCGGGGAGTTTAGGGGTAAACAATACGTAAGGCTTCTTTCCGATATTTACATTACATGTCTCCAGAAGTTTCTTCCTTGAATAACCACTCACATTTTGTCAAGCTGCTTGTTGACCTCTTCATCACTCTCATAGTCTTTAACCAGCTGTGCTACAAGTGCTCCGTGCGTTAGGACAAACAGCTCTGCACTCTAAATAAGTGTGAACATGAAATTTGCCTTGATTCAACTCCCCTAGTTCCTCGGATCACTGGTATTTAACCTTTCAAACGAACCAAAAAACTTACCACTTTCCTATTGTCGGCGCGAACAGCCGATTGACGGGACATCGTGATAAAATCAAGTTTTCAAAACGGGAAATATTTGAAAATCAAGGTGAAATAACAAAAGCTACCCCGTGCTTCAATAAAACATGGCTGCTTTCGCTGCTACGCCTTGGCAGCCGCGCAAAAAGAAAGCTTGGTAGCCACTTGTCATCATGGCGGTGAGTAGGAGGGTTTGTGTCTGCTCGTTCTCTTAGATTGTCTTACAATTTTTGACACGTTTGATTTCGTTTTCTATCGGTAGTCGCTACCAACTGTCACGACTGCTTCTTCTAGTTCGTCCACTCCAAAGATTGCACAGCAAAAAAGTATCGTCGAGGTGTTGCAAGATGTTCAGAAGAGAATCCAGGTTCGCATTCTCTGGATTTGACCTAAGCTTATTTATCATTACTTGAAAGATCAATTATTAGGCAGTATATATTGACAAAAGTGGGCTATGTTTTACTAAGGAAGCATGAATTTAGTTTCCAGTATAACTAGACAAGGAAGAACTTGGTAAATATCGGTGTCGGGTTATACCTAATTTCTTCTGTCAGTGTTCTCTACAACTTTCGTCGACATGAATAGGTAGATATGCGGGACAGTTACATGAAACTAGATTTACGAAATAACTTCAGATTGATAACGATATTGTTGACGAGGGAGGGAAAATTGTTTTACAAGGGAAGTTATGCGTGAAATGTTAAAATGAAATTGCAGCTGTACGAATCAAAACTAGTGTTTGAGATCTAAACTGCAGTTATCTTTGCAATCAATGTCAATTTGATATGAAAAGTAAAACCCTCTGACCCCTAAGAGTGACTAAATCACACATTAAGGTCACTAAAATAAAGGAAATGATCACAAAGAAACTCTTGATTGATATACAAATTCTCCTTGACAGCACCTGAAGAAATATATGGAGGACAGTAAGGAGAATATGCATACCAATGTTAGGGTTTAAAGAGTTTTTAGTTCACATATCGTTTGTATACGATGTTAATTATTATTACTTGTCTAATTTATGATACAAGAAAGATCGAGTATTAGACTTTGGACTTGAGAATTTTGTAGGCAGATGTTCTACCACTGAAAAGCCTCAGGGAACTTGGTAATGACCATTGCCACAAACTAAAACTAGCTCATTATATCACTGGTTACAGGAGGGGGAGCATTCCTCTCTGAAAGTAGCAAAGGAGAGTCCTTATTCTGTTTTACACGCAAATTTTGGAAAGTTCACTGTCACATGTACTCTAAACAGTATTTCACATGCCTCAAATTTAAAAGGAAAAGCTTCAAATCTTACCTCGCCTTACCTTTTCTTAAAATTCATGGATCATGTATTAATTTTGTGCTTAATCAGGTATCATGCATAAACTATTTTTTTACCCTCTATTTAGGCCATACTGATATGTGCTCGCTCTTCCCATTTCTTTTTGCAGCTACAATTGTATGATTTTATTAGAGGAGAAGTAATCAAAATACATTATTTGTGCCAAATTTATGGTGTAATTTTACCTGTTATTGACTTTGGCTCTGACACAAGGTTTGATAATGCCAGAACAAAACATATTAGAATTAAACACCACATATGACTTTCAGAAGATAAGGCTGAAGACAGGAATGGCATTAAAGAGGCCAGATGTGAAATCTGGCTCTTGTTTCGTGGGTGAAATGTGTCCTGTTGTTCAATTCTATAGGAAAATTCATTACTTGATGAGGGAATTCTGCATTAAATTGCACGAGAAAACTGATATGGCACAAATCGCGAAGCGATGAGTGCAATATCGGTTTTCAAGTGCAATTTAATGTGGAATTCACGAGTGAAGTAATGGATTTTCCTTGAATTGCATAACTGAATGAAAATGAGTAAAAAAAGGAAACAGCATTACTTAAAATTGTTATGTTTACTTAGATGCGAAACGATATCACTTAGCCTCGTTTTCAACACGCAATTCCGCATTAAATACCTCGCTTCGTTAACCAATCAGAATGCAAGATTTTATTCAATGTTGCGATGGTATGTAAATATCACTGCATGCGTCAAGAATGTATTGATTTTTCCTCAGGGATATGGCCCAGGCCCTTTCACTCCGGAACAAGCAAAAGAAGTTGAACGGCTCAAAGTTATTTTTCGTAGATTAAAGGCAGAAAATGATAAGGTAAGAAATGGTTATTAATTTATGTTATAGCAAAGCATGTTTGCAAGTCCTACCTAATTCCCAAGGAGCTACCATCATGGCATATATTTCTTTTACAATTATTGCACACTTTTTGGTCAAGAACTATTGTCAATAAGGTTATCAATGATAAAAGTGATGTAACATGTGATGCAATGCCTAGCAATCTTTGCCATGTCAGAGAAAAAAGTTATCTGAAATTTCTAAGATGCAGTATAAGAAAACTGGTTCTTGGTTCACAAAGTTGAAAGAGGACAACCTGGTAGAAATACTAGATGATGCCAAAGAAAATAATGCAAAAATAAAACTAAGTAAGCAATGAAAACAACTAAGGGTGAAAGAGTCTCTTTAATTACTTGTATTTCACAAATTAAAACTATAACAACACCCAAACAACAAAGTAATGCAGTAAATGGTTTGAACCCGGGGTAACATGTGAAGGTGTAGTCTGATCGTCCGGGTGAGTGTAGTCCTGAGAAGGACTGTTGTCGGTGGTAGTCAAGATCACTTGACTCTGATGATGACTTCCGCACAGGTTGTCGAAACGTCAGTCACTACCACCGACAACAGTCCTTCTCAGGACTACACTCACCCGGACGATCAGACTACACCTTCACAACAAAGTAATGTTCAATCATGTGAGGAGTGCACGATTTTCTTATAACTTTGGTGCATAAGCTGTCATAAAAATTTTAATTATAATTTATTTAAAAAAAAAAAAAAAACAGATTGACTGCATTTTTCATTGTCTTTCACCTCATTGATCATAGAAATGATATTGACAATGTTCAAAACTTTGCTATGAAACCACTTGGCTGCACCAGGTGGTTTCACTTTAGTTTTATAAATTGTTGTATCTTTACTATGACCAATTTAAGTAATAAACAACATTTTCTACCAGTTTACCAGCCGAATAAACTACATGGGATGTTGGGAGAACATGAGAAAAGTTTGTAAACCACAAAGGGCAGCAGAGTGGTTTATTGTGAAAGAGTAGTTTATTACTTTTATGACATAAATATAGGTGAAATTTGAAACCGAGAATTTGTCTAGTGATTTTGATCTGATAATCTGTATGGAAAGTTTCTAAAGTTTGCAAGCTCAGGAGGAATTTTTGATATTTTCTGCTGCTTTTTCATTGAAATAAAGGTCAGTTGTATAATTTTTACAGGAAACATTTATTTTCATTGTGAGGACCTTACTTCAAATTCTGTAATAACATTATTAGTTCATTCACTTTTACTGTGCAGCAAATAATAGAGGTATAAATGGCACAAACAGGTCATTAATCTACGTTTCAAAAAGAAAACTTGATATTAAATATAAGAAAAACAAAATCTTTCTACTGTTTTCAGTGTTCAAAAACATTCTCTCTGTTTCCACCAAACCAAGTTATAAATTGGGCTTCATAATTATTTTCTGTCTTGAGACACAAAACGCAATCTAGCAAGTAAAGCACATATGCTGAGTATGCTTTTTCAGTTGTGAAGTAAGAATGCAACTATATGGCATTCAATCATGAAGTATATACCCAAGTAAGCTTCAAAGCACATGATTATCATGGCAGCCAGAAAGATGCCCCATGATTCAAGGGTAAATATGTCTTCTCATATGCTCAAACTACATCCAAAAGCACACCCTGTTCTTGGTAGACCCACACTAAAAGATGTTGAGCATTTTCGGAATGGGTCGGTCCACAAACTTTACAAGAGATCAAGTTACAAGCGAATACTTTTAAGTGAACCTTCTATTGAGAACTATGCTATATCAAATGAGCTATCTACTGAACTATCTAATGTAAGTTTAAAACCTATCCATGTGCATTGTCGAGTATCTAGACGTGATCGTGAACCAAGTAGAATACCTATACAAACTATGGAACATCAGAAGAACAAGAGCAGAAAAGTAAGGATGTTTTTTTACGAACGTATTGGTTCGACTATATCCAAATCATCTAAATTGTAATGTTATGTGAAAGCTAGAAAACAAAAAGATAAAGCAAAGTTTACACTTAAAGGTTCTGAGAAATTTAATCAATGTTTAATAATGTTAAGAGGTATAGTTCTAAGTCAGTATTTGTCATTGTTTTCATGTAATAAACTGACAAGTCTTTGCAAGACTCAGAGCCTTGCAGTAAAATATTGTGATTTCAAGTTGAGTAGAGATATAGAAAAGAATCTTGGTTCTACTCCAGTGTATTTTGACCTTAGCAAGACGGTTGCAACACCTTCTAGTCAAGGTTATGAGTTGATATTTGGACAAAATGCAGGACAACAGTGTGTTCCAATGAGTTTGTATTCTTTGATTTACTCTAGCAAACAAGGAATTCTACTAATGATCTTGTTGCAATTATGAGTATTGGGAATCAGTTGTATTCAAGTTTGCCTCATCTAGCTAGACAGTCCTACTTAATGCTAACAGAATTACCAACAATGCTGAATGTGTTTGATGCTAACTATCAACTGCACTAGAGTGAAAGCTACATTGGTACTGTGCATCAAGAAACTACAATACAGGGCTATCAATATTGTTCTTCTTTGCAAAGAGCTTTTGAATCACTGATATCTGAAGACTACAAAAACTTCATACAGTTGGGTGCATTGCTGTTGCTATTTATTGTAAAGGTGACGTGGGATTTAAAAGATTTGATTCTCATGCAAGAGATTTATATGGTAGAGGACATCTGAAAGGTACTTGTGTGCTTCCAGAAGTATCATCTTTGAATAGCTTGGCACAATACTTTAAGAGTATACATAACAATGACATGTTCGAGGTAAAAGAGATGAAAATGAAGTTCAAAATGGCATAATTTGTCAGAACACTATGTGTGAAATTAAGGAGTTCATGCAATCAAAGGTGTTCTGTGGCCATCTACTCTATCTGTTATTCTAAAATAAAAACCATCCAGCTATTGGAATTCCAATACTTTATCTAGTATTGTACACTGTGGCAAAAGGCTGTGTGATCTTCTGTCTTTAAAAGAAAAGTTTTCAACGAGGGACTTGCCAAAAACAATTGACTTGAGGAAATGAAGTAGGTTTACTAGTTTCAAATGAGTAATGTGAAGTATTGTCAGATACGTGACAAAGCAAATTAATTCTTGAAGATGGTATTCTAAACAATGACTGTACAGGGTTTTTGATGAGTTTTGAATCTTTTTGTATCAGTAGTATCTTAAAATCCACAAATAGGTCAAAGTATGTTTATTCTTTGTTAGTATACTTTGAAAGTCACATACCACCAGTTCAGTTCACTAAATGCATAAATGGCATACCTTCACTTGTTGATGTCATTTGCAAAATTCAAAGTGAACATAGATCTTCAGGACAATACACAATACAGTTTGTAACATGTTCATGTAAAAATGTTGATAGAAATGATAGAAAAAAGTTGATGAAAATTCAGAGAAATGAACAACACTGAAACAATGGAGCCATCTAAAAAGAAAATGTTATTAGATGAACAGCAAATAAGGGATACAGCAAACAAACATAATAAACAACTAAAAAAAGTTCAAAAATACAAAACAATGCAGTTTGCTCAGAAAAATGACCTGTTAAACAAAAAAGCACAAAAATGCAAAACAGTAGATGCTGTTAAGAAACAAGATCTATTAGACAAACAAGCAGAAAAATACAAAACATTGGATACTGGTAAGAAACAAGACCTGCTAAACAAACAAGCAGAAAAATACAAAACAATGGATTCTTTAAGAAAACAAGAATTGCTTGAGAGATGCAAAGAAACCTACAACATTACTGTAACAGTAAGAATATAACTTTAGATTCATGTATTCAACAGTTCAAAAAGAAAATAAGGGAAGGTCCATACTATGTAGGTATGTTGTGTTTGTATACAAAACAAATAGAAAAGCAGAAACAAAACAAAAATAGAACAATAACAACCATGTTCCAGTAAATTATTATCTGACTTACAACAGGGTAACAGTTGTCAACTTTATCTTTTTAACAGACTTGCTTTCAATTGCATCTCATTTATTATCTTATATTTTTTTATAATTAAAATATTGTTTCAGGTAGTTGTTTTCAATTTTTCCAGTAAAAAGTATGTTTAAGAATTGTTGAAGACTTAAAATTGTTAAAAATAAATAATTGTTATTGCTTTATGTTTATTTTCTTTGTTCATATTTATATCCATGTCACCACTTGAGCTATTCTAAAAGCACTGTGCCAAATAAGTTGTAAACATCTACTCAGACTAGCATTCAGTGATCAATTTTGATCTACATGTATTAGAAATGAGTTGGCTTTCTTTCTTTTTTTGTGATAACATTTTTGCGCAGCGCTTTGCACTTCCTATGCATTGATAATAACAAGCAGAACAAAGAAACATGCAGTCAGTGGTGGGGAGTTAGGAAAACAAAGGACATGATTTGGGCTTAAATTTGTCAAAATGTAAATTAAACAACACTCTTGTTCAAAGTTTACGTGGCGTGACTCTGCTTATGACCTCAGGGACTCTGAAAATAAGCTTAATGTTCCACTACCGCGCACTAATTATTACAGAAAAAGCTTTAGCTACAATGGCGCTACATTATGGAACAGTTTACCACGCGATATAAAGAACACAGAGTCTCTGGGGTTATTTAAACGTAAGATCAATGACATTCTTTAAGTCTAACGCACGGCATTCACGGAAAACAGCTTTAGTGTTATTGTATGTAGTTTTAATTTTAAATATCTTAGCGTATGTGATATGTATTTTTATAGGCTGATGAATTGATCGTGTCTAAATAAAGATTACAATACAATACAATTGTCAGATTACATGCCTTAGTGAACATTCCTAAGCAAAGAAGCCCGAGTTCACGCAGTTATGTGTCTAGTTAAAATTAAAGTCTAGAAATTTGTCCCACGTACACCTTTTCTCTAGGAAAATGTTTCAATCAGTTTCTATAGGTTGATTTTGATAGTAAACAATAGATTTTTTACCAATCAGAGCTCAAGTTGAGTGTGAGCTATATCATAAAACATCATATACACACAATAAGGGTGAACCAATTCTCTAATATTAGACAACAGTCAACACGGGTATTGTTAATGGTTATTGACAATTGATGTTATCCCTTGTTGATGTTAAGTGGTGTTAAATACATGACTTCAGACAGCACCCAAAACATACAGAGAGTCGCAATACATAATTCATGTTTTATTTACTGGTTTTAATTATCAGCTAGAACATTGTTTTAATAAGGTTTTGAATGTAATCTGGGTGTCTTGATTTCTTTAATAGTCTTTTCTTAGCAGTTTGGTGAAAAACAAATAAAAAGTTCAAAGCTTGTTATTTCTTTCTAGCTGGGGTACAAAAAGAAAATCACACAGACATGTATGCAAACACATATATGCCAACACTGAATGAATCTCCAATTCTTCCAAACTGGTTTTTTAGATCTCTGATATAAAAGTAAATTAGGACATGTTTCAGTTAAAAAGGCATCTTAGTCATAAGTAAAAAAAAATTGCAAACGAGAACATATAAACTTCATATTTTTTTAAATCAATTTTCTCGGAAAGGCAATGCAGGAAGGCAAGATAGCTGTGATGAGAACAACAACTGTTATGACACCTGTCACTCAGGTCTTGACACCTATCACTCATGTTGCCACACCTAATGCCATGCAGATGACAAAGATTGCCCCTGCAACCACAGCACTCCCAAACCAACAGACTGCTGTTCTTCCTGCGACCACTGTGACTGGTGGGATCCCTGCTGGTCAGGCATCACTGGCCACAAAGACTATTCTCCCACAGACTACTACTTTGCAACCAATTCAGCCTCAAAATGTGGTCATCAATCCAGCCTCCATTCAACAGCTTCAGAGAACTGCAGATGGGGGTAAGGAATGCTTATTCACATTTGGTTCTACTGTATTTATTTTATTTGAAAATAGTGGCACAAGGTGTTTGATGTAGGGCTAATGCTCAAAACATAAGCGTTAGCAACTCAAGGTGTGTATTTTCAAACTAAGAAAACGGTGAGGACATTAATTTCCCAGTTCTTTTATGTAGGGTTATAATTATTCACTCCTTCACTCAGTTTATGTAAAGAATTTTGTTTTCTGTTCATGATTCCAGTATTCTCGGATACAATAAAAATTGACTACTCTTTTGTTGGCAGAAATTTTGTTGGTTCTCTTGCTCAGGTCTTCATTTCTAAAATATAATTTGCCTTGTGTTGAAAAAAGTAAATTGAGATTCTCAGCAACTTTCTTTAAATTTGTGGAAAGCAATACTGTTCAGTTCCTGCCTCATTTTTGCATTTACATCAGAAAATTAAGATGCAAACCCCTAAGAAAAATTAGTTGTGGTAAAAGTAATCTTCTAAATTAAGATAAAACATTTTCAAATATCCATGCAGTTTAAAAGTTTTTGGTAACTGTTTTAGTTACAGTTCAACATACAGTGAAGTCACCTCAACCTACCACTCTTCAAGTTACACAGACTCTAGCACCTGGACAGCAGATAGCAGTCAGAACTGTTGCATCAGCACAACCAGGACAAAGCATTAAACCTACGGTCACTCTCACAAACAGACCCATGCAAGGTTTGGTTTTATTTATGTTTCTATATGAAGCAGGTTGGTTGGCTGAAACAGCGTGCTTTATCAGAGTACAGATTTATGGAATCAGATTTGTTCAAAAGCTGACAAAGTCCCAAACTTCTCTCTCTGTTTTTTTTTTTTTCCCCCTTTTTTTTCTTTTACCTCGACATCTTGAATGACCTGGAAAAAAATGTGAAAATGAGCTCTGACCTTACATTGATATAACCTGTAAGTAACAGCAATAGAAAATGAAATTTTGGAACTAGTTACTCAGGATGAAAAAGTGTACAGGTATCAAGCAAGTAGGCTGGTACCCATTTCAAGAGTACTTCTGAGTAGAAATAGACAATGCGAGGATAGTGTCTCATGGCAGCCCACACGTTCAAAGTCATTCCATAAACACCTTAAAGTGTGTCATGGTTTAAGTGGTTGGGTTGGACTTAAAGATGTCCTTGTCAGAGAGTATTTTGCTTGTCAAGCCCAAACCATGGTTGCAAAGGAGAAGGCATTGGGTATAACAAACAATGTGCTTGGGTGATCTTTCATCATGTTTTCAAAGCTGACCCCTTCCCTGTTGTTTTTTGATTTGTCCCTTAGTGGCTTCAGGTGTGACACAGGCCGTAACTCTACAGAGGCATTTAGCCCCTAACAAGTCACCAGTTCATATGCCAATCACTCTGGCTCCATCCGGTACAGTATCTGCTGCTGTACCATCTGGAGGACACATTACCAACATAGCACCAGCACCAATAGCGGCTGCTGTGTCCAAAGGAATTTCAACACAAGCTGCTGGTGAGAGCTGTATATATTAACTTAAATCTTTGAATCTCTCCCCTCTCCTTTCTCACTGCATTTGGTGAAAGAGGGGGAGTAGGAGAAGCCCAAGGAACAATTTTGTTTAAATTTTGTAACTAAAATCAAGTGAAAATGAAGGTAGCAGAGAGGGAGGCTTTTGTTTAAAGCCTTGGAATATACAATTTAGGAATTTAGGAATTAAGGAATTTAATTTGTTCACCACGGGAAAGGCAGGAGAAAGGAACAGAACTTTCGTCCCAATTGACACCTAACCCCTTTGCACCCACCCATCCCAGCCCGGGGAGGACATCCACCACACAGTAATCTCGTGCGTGGGAAATTAACGTCTCCTACCCCTAACCCTGCAGGAGACGGGACCTACGGTTTTATTCGTCCTTATCGTCCTCTCAAAAAAAAAAAAGGTTATTTAACCCTTTATCTCTCATGAGTGAATTTCTCCTTACAATGTCGAAACAATATCAAATAGACA